TGGGGGATATTTCCCTTCACTGTTATTTCTTGAAGCCTGTCATTCTGGAGGGGAAGGAGAAACGAGGTGGGCCACCTTAAGGGAGCAGAACAGATCCAGGGATTTGAAAGAACATTTCAGTAATTATCCAAATAATTTAGCCTCCTATGCTCTTCCCTGACATAGCACATTTTTGTGATAATAATCCAGGAATTTGGGACAACTCCCTTTCAGTTTCATGTCACTTACCCTTTGCTCTAGGAAAGCAATCTATTTGCAGTTTTGTGGCTGTGTCCTCAGGTTTTCCACCTCCAGCCTTTGCCCATTCCATGCCTTCTACCAGGCACCCCTTTTCTTCTCCACCTGTCAGGCAGTTGGAGCCATCTGAGAAATACTCCTTGTTTTATGAGACCTTCTTGGTATCTCCCAGCCAGAAAAGCTCTTTTTCTTCTCTGCTGTCCTCCTGGAAAGGAAGTATACTCTGGGATTTTCTGCTCACGTCCTATCCCCCAACTGGATGGCACCTTACTCATTCCCTGTGATGCCTTTCACTTAATGGATCAATCAATGAACTGAGAAAAGCAGTGGGGGTAGGGGGTTGGGAAGCCACAAAACTGCCCAAATTCCAGTTAAGTGACCCTCTGGACAGCAAGGCTTGAATTCAGTTTAAGGTACATTGCACAGGTGATCTCATGCAAGTTGTGTATCCACCCTCCAGAGTGAGTCCTATTACCATCCCATCTTGTCCGAGACACCCCCAGCACTAGAGACTGGAACCCAGGCCAGCTGATCCCAATACCCATGCACTTCCTATTCTACCACACTGCCTCCTACAGCTCGTTTCCCAGGGGAAGAGGGTTGCCCCCAATCCTAACGCTCCCAGATGGGAGTCTCCTCTTGCGGTTTGAGTCCAAACTGAACCCTGGCCAGCACCACTCAGCCAGCTGGTTGAGCAGTTGGGGTCAGGGACTCCCAAGCACTAATAAACACTCATGGAGGTGACAGGCACCTTCTCCTCCTCTGTATGAGATACTGGGAGGCAGACATCAAAAACCTCTAGGGTAAAGCCCATTGTATTATTTTTCCTTGGGTTGTTCTGTAGCTGGGCAGCAGGAATTAGGCCTGGCAGGGAAGGGTTCACAGAAAAAAGGATACTCACAGAGAGGAGAGAGGACCCTTGACTTCAGCAGACAGCCCTGCCCAGCTTCTAGCCTGGAGTTGGGGTGGGGGGAAGGGTTGATCCCATCTCAATCTCTGAGATTTATGTACTGACTTCCCTAGGCCTTTGGGAAAATGCTGCAATCCTCAAGGCTGGCTCTCATCTCCACACTTCCACCAGCACCTCAGTTCCAGCCCCGGAGGTCTAGGAACAAAATCCTGACATGAACTGCCAGGGCACCACCCAACTGACACTCCCCAGCTCGGGCAGCCTGAAGGATAGATGGAGCACAAAATGCTAAGGTCTTTGATACACACACAATTTACGTGGATCTTTCCCATGCATTATCTCAATTGGTTTAAGCCCCACAACAGGGTCCTGTGAGGTGGGGAGGGTAGAAATTATAAATCCTTCTCTTAGATGAGGAACCCAACGTTCACGGAAGGTGAGCAGCTACTCAAGGTCACACTCTCGGGAGCTAGTGACCACCATAACACTGAAAAAACCCGCAGCAGTTCAGTCATTAAATGCCAACCCCGGTGCTAAGCACCTTCCATGCATCCAACATTCACAATAGTCCCGCGAGGTAGACATTTTACCTCCATTTTACAGATGATGAAATAGGGACTCAGGGATGTTAGGTGGTTGGGGGAAGCTACCTGGAGTCAAGCCTCAAGCAGCCTGATTCCATGGACGCTCCCCCAGGGTGGGGACTTTGTCCCTCTGGGTCCCCTGAATCCTAAGCACCTATAGGAGTGCCTGGCCCACATAAGGTGTCTCACTAAACATTTGCAGAACGTTTGTGCACTGAATAAGTCTGTCCCCTTACCCTCGACTTACTCATCCCAGACTGCTCCTGTCCTTCTTTTCTCCCAGCTCCTTCGGTCTCCAGCCAACCATCTGACACCTCTTTCCTGAGAGTTCCACCGCACCCTGCCACCAGAGTTCCCCAAAGGGGCTGGGAAGTCAGTTCACCACCTTGCTTCCACACCTACCAGAATTCGGGGATTTGTGGTTTGTCTCCATGGTTCCCTCTTGCCTCAGTTTCCCCACCTATACCAGATATGAGGGAAGTAGGCAAGCAGATGACTGGAAAAGAGGCCCGGAGGCAAGTCTGCCCTTCTACTTCCTTCCCCCCAGGAGTTTCTGGGGATCCCCTTCTCTGCAGATCCCACAGAACCCCAGATATGCAGAGAGGGTCCTACAGGGGGAGACAGGGGAGTGGTCAGGCCCACCTCTAAGGTGCACATTTCTAAGCAGGGGAAAGGCTAAACTCTGAGGTCAGGGGTCTCTGGAGGATGGTCCCCTGCAGGGTGAAGTTTTGAAGGCCCGCTCTGGAACATTAGCAGCTCCAGCTGCCTTCACCCCAGGCATTAACCAGTCAACATCACTGAGGATTTTCCAGGCCTGCAGGCAACGAAGAGACCAAGATGCCACTTCTGTAAACTGATGGGACAAGAGAGAAGCCCCATGCTAGGTGCACTGAGCACCTCTGTGGGTGACCTCATTCAAGTGCCCCCAACTTGGAGAATTCTCCCCGTGTCACAAAGAATGAGGCAGGTATCTTAGACTTGCCCATGGTCACATAGCCAGGACACAGCTAAACAGGGACAGGAATCCAGGTCTTTGGGGCCTGTGCCTGTTGTGTCTTGCCAACATCTCCCAAGGCTTCCTTCAATAGTAGCTGGAGGCTTACACTTACCTCGCCTTCCCAGCCTCTTACCTGTCCTAGGTTTCCAAGGGCAGGTGAGGTAGGCCAGTCCCACCTCCAGGGGCAGCTGGGTTTAGAAGCCTGGGCTGTAGTGATCAATGAGAGGACAGCATTCCCGATGCCCTCCACCACTCAGGGTCACCCACACACCGCTGGGCATCTCCTCCCTCACCCCCTTACCTGTACCCCCAAGCCCTCCTCCACAGCCCCTCTTCCACTTTCAGCCCCACTGTTTGGGGCCCCATGAATGACTAGGAGCTATGACTGGAACAGTGCTCCTGACCGCCGCCCCCCCTCCATCCCCAGCTTCTGACACCTCCAGGGCCTCTTCACCCAGCCCTAGCTCCCGGTGTCAGGTCCAGGAAGAGGGACTTGTCCTGCCCAGTCCTCCAGCCACTGCACTGCCAGTCGCTCAGAGGATTGACCAATATCAGAGCGCCACCTAGTGTGCCCAGCGCATGCCCTATCCCCTGCCTGCCCCTGCCCAGTCACTTTGTTTGGGGCAGGGCCTCTGGGGGGTAGGGAGCTGAAGAAGAGGAAGGGTTTCTGGCCTGGGCCTCACACTTACAAAGGGCCTCAAGTCCAGACTGCTGATACTAATCCTGGCTACAATTTTGTTAACCCCTCTTTGGCAAGTATTCTTTTTCTTTAAAAAAAATTTAAAAATTTTTAATGTTTATTTTTGAGAGAGGGAGACTGAGCACGAGCAGGGGAGGGGCAGAGAGAGAGAGGGGACACACAGAATGCAAAGCAGGCTCCAGGCTCCAAGGCATCAGCACAGAACCCCATGCAGGGCGCAAACCCACAAACCTTGAGAGAAACCTGAGCAGAAGTCAGACACTTAACCGACTGAGCCATTCAGGCACCCCTTGGCAAGTATTTTTAACAAAAGCCTAAAATAATAAACAGTGGCCAAAGCATCATTAGATGTCCAAGAGACCCATCCATATATGGAGACTGTGCTCCATGCCTCACCAAGCCTGTTTTGTGTCCCCTCTCCTGCCCCACCTTGCCTTCTCCCTCTCGTTCCCAGACTTGGCAGGAAGGGTGATAAACAAGCACTGAGCATGGGCAGGGAGGTCAAGCAAATCTGGATTTGAATCCTTGCTTTTTACCAGCTGTGTGACCTTGAAAAATTCACCTAAGCCTTCTGAACCTTATTTTCTCATCTGTAAAATGGGATTGTAATGAACATCATGTGGGATAACAAACATGAGGCACTGAGCAAAGTGTCAGCCACTTACCAGAATCTCCACCACTGCCAGTCTTGTCCTCCCTGTCCCCCTCAGGGCATCTGTCATGATGTCGGCTTCCACAGCACTTTGAGCTGGGGCTCCATCATTTTCTTTCTCTCTGAGCACTGGCCACACTGCATCTTGCATGTTCTGTGGATAGGCCCATCTCTTCTCCCTGACCCTCTGGAAGCCCAGCCCAGTGACCAGTGTGTGTCTGCCAGTGACTGAACCGAACGTTCCCAGGCTAAATGGCCATATCCTGTTAGGAGAACTTGTTCTCCAATCCAGAGTTCTGACCAAGTTCCTGGCCCTGTCAAAACACACATTTTCTATAGGCTTCCAGTTATGGAATGAATAAGTCACAGGGATGAAAGGTACTGCACAGGGAATATAGTCAATGGTATTGTAATAGTGTTGTTCGGTGACAGATGGTAGACATACTTCTGGTGAGCACAGCATAACACACAGAGATGTCGAATCACCACGCTGTACGCCCGAAACTAATGTCCTATCGTGTGTCGATGATACTTCAATTTAAAAATAAATAAATAGGGGCATCTGGGTGGCTCAGTCAGTTAAGCGGCCAACCCTTGGTTTCAGCTCAGGTCATGATCTCACGGTTTGTGAGTTTGAGCCCCAAATTGGGCTCCACGTTGACAGCATGGAGCCTGCTTGGGATTCTCTCTCTCTCCCTCTCTCTGCCCCTCTCCCACTCACTCTCTCTCCCTCGCGAAATAAATAGACTTCAAAAAATAAAAATAAGTTAAAATTAAAAAACAAAACATATTCTCTCCCAGAGCCCCGGTCTTCTCCTCTATAAAGTGGTATTGAAGTTTGTGACTTGCACAGCCGTTGTAGGGATTGAGGAGAGGACATGTGTGAAAGCACTTGTAAAGGCTATAACACACAGCAGGCCCACAGTAAGTAGAATTTATTATTGTAATAGCTTGGGAGGCCCAGTGGAAGGAAGCCCCATGGAAGGAAGACAGAAGAGTCATATTAACTCAACTGTACAACTTCAAAAAAGACGTAGGGGCAAGAAGACAGAAAGCAAGATGGGGAGGATGGGAGGTGGTTAAAATCAGCAAAAATTAAAACCCAGCCAGGATCTCCATCAACAACTTATTTAAGAGTAAGGCATCCCACAGGCCAGGGTGGGGGAAGCCTCTCTTTCTCCCCGGGGTGGGGATGGGGAACAGGCCAAGCGGGGTGGGGGATGAGGGGGCGAACAGCCTCTTTATTAACACAATTATTTTATTTGCCGAAAGGTAATCATCCTAAGTGAGGTCAAGGCGGCTGGCACGGGAAGGCTCTGCAGGCGGCTGGCCCTCGTTGCCATAGCAACGGAGCCCGATCACTTCTAGCAGCTGCAAGGGCTGGAGGTTCCTGAGAAAGGAGCCCTCCCCACCCCATCTCTCTTCTTCCCCCAGAGAAAGGCTGAAGGCGACCTGCGGGTATTGCATTCCTCCTCTCAGCTCCAAGTGACAGACCAAGAGTCCCTGGGGGAACGTCCAGCCCAGGTTCACAGGGAGCCCATCCTAGGGGAGAGGGGTCTCTGTGTCCATCATCTCATTTCATCCCATAATACCCTGCAAAGAAGAGAATAAGCATCACCTGACCATTTTACAGAAAGCTGTGGCTCAGAGGAGCTAGTGATCTATCCACGGACACACAGCCCCTAGGATTTAGAGGCTGGAGTCTGAAGCCTAAGGCACCATTTCCAGTTGCCTCAGAAGCAGGGGCTGTGACAGGACAAGGAGGGATTATACCAGAGTCTTGATTGATCAGAAAAACTGGGTCAGAGGAAAAGTTGCTAACTTAGAAGTCAGGGAAGCCCAGGTTTGAGTCCCAACTCCCCTCTTACAAGCCACTTCACCCTCAGCAAATTTGCTCCGAGCCTTGGTTTATCCAATGATTCTGCACTTGTGACTTGCCAGTCTCTGCAAACGTAAGTAATGACCAATTCATATTTCCTCATCTGTAAAATGGGCCAACTAAGCCTTGCCCCAGAGACTCAGGACGTCAGTGGTGACTGGTAAACTTGCTGCAGTGTACAAACGTTAAGAAGCTTGTTCTCTAATTTTCGCCCAAATCTTAGAGTGTGTTAGCTGTGCATAGAAGGGAACAAAATACTCCCTGACCTCAAATCTTCCGGCCCTGAAGTTCAGGAGACAGCACAGGCGAGGCAGGCCCACTGTGGATGCAGCCTATACTGGGGTCCATTTTGCTTGTGCCCGCAGCACCTATCGCCCTCTGGTGGAGGAGTCTGACAGCCACAGGGACAACCATGCAAGCCTCAGGGAATTCAGATTTGGGGGAGGGGAGGGATAGAAGGAAGAAGAGAGGCAGCGGGGAGGGAGCCCCATTTACTGAGGGCCTGCTCAGCTCCTCGCCCTTTTCTGGAGATCCTGGTAACCCTGGGGACAAGTGCCCTGAAGTAATTATCCCTGTTCCACAAGAAGGAAATCAAGACTTGACATGGTTAGGAACAGCCCAGGACCCCTAAGGCGGGGACACATGCCCAGGGGTGTCTGACCTCAAAACTCTTCAGATCACAAGCAGGAAGAGAAACGGAGGTCTCAAGGAAGTAATGGCTCCTTCTCCCAGGAGTAGGACCACTCTGGCCCAGATACCAGAGGGAGGCATTCTGGAGGCCCCTGTCCTCCTCCTGCACCTTCTCCCAGCTATCTTCTCCACCAGCCATATCAGGGTCCCAGTCTCCTATGACACACACACTCACGCTCACGCTTGGAGAGTTCTGGCATACTGAAGACATCCACAAAGAAGCCGTTCATCCAACTTCCCATTTTAGATTCACTCACCTCCTCTGAGGCTGCCAGTTGGAGTTCCCATCCTGTGCCAGACAACATTGAGCAAAGGCAGGAGATGAAAGGGGGACTGTTCAGCATGCATATGGCCCTGGGGGACCCCAGGTGGGGGACCTGACAGGAGAACTTCTGAGGGAAAGGTGGGCAATGGAGAAAAGAGTTCTTGAGGGGTGACTCCCGACTAGTCACACAGAGACCAGGGAAGTTTCTGGGTCATGAGGCAGAGAGAATCAGAGACAAGATGAGAGACAGAGAGAGGAAGGGGATGGCTTTAGCTTCACAGCTGGACCTGGCAGCAATGCCCAGGGTACTGGCCACACTCCAGCAGATAACAGCTCCAGCACAGGCTTAAGCTTTAGTCAGTGGATCTAAGGCTTGGCCACAATCAGCAGTAAGGAAGATTAGCAGAGACCTGGCAGGGAAAGAGGAGGTGGGTGTTTGGCCAAGAAACGGTTGTATGGATCTCTCTTGAGTCGGAGTCAGGGGCTTTCATTGACCCTTCCCATGAGGTGTAGAGTAAAAGACAGAGGTGGGAGTCAGGCTGAGCCATGTCAACAGGGAGGGAAGAAATATGACCCAGTGAAGCCCAGCTAGACCCCAAAACTCAGCCCCAACCCTCTTTCCCCCAATCCCAACAAGTCTCAAGTAAGACCCCAGGATGCCTGGTCAGGGGCATGCCACTCAAGGTGTCCATGCCATCCTTAGTTGGAGAAGGGGGTCTCAGCATAGGAGCTCTGGTGACCTTATTCTCCCCCTTTAGGCCAGGCTGTACAGAGGGAAGGACCGAATGGGTCACATCCCCAATCCCCAAGAGCTCTGGAGAGAGGGTGGAAAGTAGGAGGCGACAAATAGTATCAGCTGCCCAGCATAACTTATTAGCATCCAGGCGAGATTAATCAAGCCCAGAAACCTCGAGCAGACCCCTAATTAGTTGCTGCTGATAACTATATTTGTCATGCTCTCCAATTATTCCACTGTAAATTTCAGAGTTTAATTGCACCTTGTTCTTCATTGAAGTGTCACTGTTTGCACACGCTCCCCTAATTCTTTAGCAAATTTGACAAAATTCAGCATTAAATATAGATTATCTTTAGATTTCCATAATTAACACAACCAAACTGTCTCAGGCCTAAATATTTCTCCCAGTGCCATAAATCTGGCCTGTCCCCAGAACCCAGAGTGCTGCTCCCAGCTCCCTGGCGGAGGCCTCTGGGAGAACATGCATTCACAGTCATGAACTTGACATGTCTTGCACAGGGTTGGGGTATGGGTAGTGGGTGAGGCTTCATTGAGGACGCATAACCAGGGACCATTCCACCCCCAAATTTATAGGAGGCCCCATTGAGGCTGCTCCTTGGGGTAGCTCAGCCGTGTCCTAGGGTTTAGAAGGCCAGTCCAGCACCATGGCTGACCTCTAGGCCCTGGCAGGTGGGCTAGAGGCAAGTGGCCCAGCCTATAGCCAAGCTGAAAGTCACTTCACCCTCCAAAAGCCAAAGGGCCCTGTTTATGACTTTTTTCCCCATTAAGGCTGGCCTTGATGTTTGACTTTATGCCAGGAACATGACCCAGGCAAACAGGAATGCCTTCCATGTCACAAAGCCTCCCTGGCACCCTCACTGCCCATCTTCTCTCCTAACCTACTCTCTCCAGACTCACCAGGTGAATATATGGCCATTTGACTTAAACATGCCCACCTGGGACTCTCAGTTCAGATTGGAGGAGGGGAAGAATTCGTGCCCGCCTCCAACATTAGGTTGGGAATCTTTCCCACCAGCCCCCAAACCCCAAACCTAATACTGCAACAAAGTCAGCAAGGTGCCCCATTTCCAAGATGACAAAGGGACAGCAGGGGTGAATGCGAGAGGGCAGAGAAGCCTGTGCCCCCTCCTCCTCCAGATACCTACCTAGTCCTTGACCCCTAGGAAGAGAACCATATGTTGGGTTTATCCCAAGTCAAGTCCCTTCTTCAGGCTGGCTGTTTCATGGGCAGCACAGCATTCAGAGTTCAACTGCAAGCCAAGACCTCCACTCCACACTGCATTCATGCAGATACACACACGCACTTATAGATACACACACAGATATAGAAATAGACACAGGTGCACAGAGACACAGTGCTGACACCCACAGACACACATGCAGACAGAAAATCACACACCAACACACAAGGACAGACATACACACGCAGAAACACATACCCCTCTGCCTAAGATGGGGGTAACCAGGCAGAGAAATAAATCAGTGCCATATTCAGGGTCTTGCCACGCTGAAGGGCCAGAGTGGGCTGGAGGCTCCAGCAGACAGTATCTACAACCTCTCACACTCCCTATTGCCTGCCAGCCCAATGCTCCTCAGTTTCCCTGAGGAAGCTATGTTGGTGGTTGAGGGGTTGAAGATGGGAACCGACAGTAATACTGAGAAGCCTCGAAGTGTACTCACAGTAAATTTGGAGGAAAATCAATGGCCTTTAATGAGATTTGATTTTTCTCCATGATGGGCTGGGCTGGGGGTAGTGTGGGGGAAATTTCTGGGTGCAACGTGGGAGATGAGTCAGGTCACAGAATGCAGGGCTGGCTGGGAAAGACTGCACAACCAGAGTGAGGAAGCTCCAGGCCTAGTAGCCACAGGGACAGGCAGAGACAGAGGACCAACAGACAGGATATCAGACTGCCATCCAGCACTTCCCACAAGGCCCAGAGAGGGCCCCTGGTCCAGCTCAGGTATCTGTCATGGCTGAGCTGGGTTCTGGATCCAGGAGTCTGGATTTCCCTGTCCTTAAAAGGAATGAGGGGCTGGCCAGGGCCAAGAACAGTGGGAAGTGGTCACCAGAGGGTAGGGAATATATAGCCCATTCAGGGTTATTGGCTTTGGAGGGTGCTGAGAGGCAATTATGAGTGCTTAAATGTGATCACTGGAGTTCACTGAGGATGTGTCAGGCTCCAGCCACCTGTTATTGTCATTCTGCAAAAAACCCTATAAGATAGGTGGCAGCCCCTTGCTCAGATGAGGATGAGGATCAGAGAAGTCAAAGAGACTGCCCAAATTCATCCAGCCAGTGAGTGCCTCAGGCAGTACCTGAATCAAGGTCTACCAGGCTCTTAAGTCCTTGTTTCATCCATTTGGCTCACAAGCAGCCCCTCATAGGTGATGAAGGAGCCACTTCTTCATCTCTCTTATCTTCCAGCCCAGGGGTCCAAGATCCTTGGGCCATCTGGGGTCAGAGCTTGGGTTTAGGCTCCAGCATGACAAGAACTCAGGGAATCTCCTCCACACCTAGATCCCAATACAAGACTTCCCCAGGCACAGAGGATGGTACACTTGTCAGCTGCCATCCTGCCCACCCCACCCCACTTCACTGCCAAGCTTTGAGCTCCCCCTCCTTCCTTGCTGAATTCTACAAGAGATCAGAGGCCATCAACCCAACCTTAACGTCCTCTACCTGAAGTTTCTGTGCAACATCCTACCTGAATGGTCATCTGAGTGCTTATATTCCTCCAGTGACAGGGACCTCACTACCTCCAAAGTACCCCATTCAGCCTCTGGAATTCTGTTAGCTTGAGCTGCTGTCTCCCTGAGCTTCCCACTGGTTCCAGCCCTGCCCTCTGGGTCACTGCCTGCCCAATTTGACCTAAAGGTGTTGGCAGAATTCCTGACAGTGGAGAGAAGTAGTTAAAAACAATAATTTTGGATGGAGTCAGTGATGGTTTCTTGGGTATGATAGCAAAAGCACAGGCAACAAAAGAAAAAATAGATAAATAGGA